TTATTATTATTATTATTATTATTATTATTATTATTATTATTATTATTATTATTATTATTATTATTATTATTATTATTATTATTATTATTATTATTATTATTATTATTATTATTATTATTATTATTATTATTATTATTATTATTATTATTATTATTATTATTATTATTATTATTATTATTATTATTATTATTATTATTATTATTATTATTATTATTATTATTATTATTATTATTATTATTATTATTATTATTATTATTATTATTATTATTATTATTATTATTATTATTATTATTATTATTATTATTATTATTATTATTATTATTATTATTATTATTATTAATTATGATTTTTATTACATTGCAGAAAAATCTATACTTCTTATGTATTAAAAAAATTTAGATGACATTAATGATCAGATAAGTATTGATAGTAAATATAATGAAGGACATGAAGAATAATGGGAAGGTTAGATGAGTAAAAGATAAGAGAATTTTTGGGGTTTTAACAATTTGTCATTAGAACTGATCATTGATAGGGTAAATGAAAGCGATAGAAATGAAAAGGGAAGAAGGTAGAGATGAAAGATTGCAGTGAATTTGATTTGAAGAATTGAAATACGACCGATGATACGAGATGATAGGTGAGAATAATTTATGTTCTTCGCTAATTAACCTGTCATCAGTTTACAAATCTTAACAAGATTACACCCAAAACTTCTTTTTTTGTCTTTTTTTTGTCATTCACATTAGAATTACGGTGACCTTTCATTTATTTATCTCATTAAAATATTTGTCTTCATATAATTGTCATAAAATTTTTGTCTAACATTAATTTTAAGCGACATTAATGATTGTTGATCAAAGAATGTTTATTCATAATTATGGGCAATAAAATTAATGTTACAACATAATTGCTGAATGTTTTTTTTTGCTTCAAAATTTTAATTAAATAACAAATTCAAATACAATATTATTTGAGCGGAAAATAAACAAACAAACAAATAAATGAATGAACGAATGACAAATGTAAAAAAAAAAAGTTGAAAGTAAAAAAAGAACTTGAAATTAAACGTTTTTTCAAACAATTATTACAAAAAGGAATGATAATCAATCACAAAAATTTTTATTTACATAACGATACAAAATAAATGATATTGGAAAGAAACAATAAAATATAAGCTTCACAAAAATTTTAATTCACACAGAAATGGAAATAATAATTTGTATCAATCAGATGCGAAAATTCAACAGTCCTAATCAATAACTAACTAATTATTATTTATTATTAAATTCCATGCAATGATGTTTTATTATTCCTTTCCTGAATTATGTAGAATGGACTAGCAGTACTTGGACAGTCGATATTGAGTGTTAGATTAATTTATAATATTGTTTATATTTCATATTAATTTTCAATAATTAATTAAATACTGCTACATTTTATTGCTATGAAAGCGGGAAATGATATTCTTCCATATTTTATTTTGATATTTTTACATTTAATAATTTTAATTTATCTCCCACATGCATATTTATTTATTTGATTTCATATTTTTTAATTTTAATATTTCATATTTTCTAAAATGGCAATCAAATTTGCAATTAATCCCAACAATTAATTATTAATCTTTTTGAAGTGAATTGGAAATATTTAATCAGTTACCGTAAATTGACTTTTTTTATCAGTATTGTTACTTCAGTTGATGTTTGAATGCCAAAATTTTTTCCGGATTTTCCGGAATTGATCCATTTCACTTACCTGTAAACATACTGGGTAATC